TTCCTTCCTCGGAACCATACTTTGGTGCAAGTGGTCTGCCTCTTGAAATATTCGAATGTGATCTCATCTGGTGCAATCATACCCGCTCTAGCACCACCCTCGATAGACATGTTACAAATGGACATTCTACCTTCCATACTCAAACTTCGAATAACCGAACCACAAAATTCAATAACTGCACCGGTACCACCAGCTGTACCAATTCTACCAATCGCATGTAAGACGACATCCTTTGCGGTAACACCTGGTGCAAGCTCGCCGTCAATCTGGATTCTCATATTTTTGCTTCGTTTGGTGATCAAAGTCTGTGTAGCAAGTACATGCTCAACTTCACTCGTACCAATTCCGAAAGCCAAAGATCCGAAAGCACCATGTGTAGAAGTGTGACTGTCACCACAGACAACAGTGGTACCCGGAAGAGTGAAACCCTGTTCAGGACCAATGATATGCACAATTCCTTGACGCTTATCACCGAGACCAAAGTATGTAATTCCGAAATCCTTGACGTTATCTTCGAGAGTCATACATTGAAGTCTTGAATCTTCTTCCTCGACAAAAGTTTCGATATTTTTGAGGGATTTTCGAGAGCTGGTTGGCACGTTCTAGAAATGGCATTAGGTCACAATCTATGGAGTTTGAGAAACAGGAACTTACGTGATCGGTGGTTGCAAGAGTACAATCTGGTCTTCGAACTTTTCTACCGGCATTCTTCAACCCCTCGAAAGCTTGCTATAAAGGCGGGTTAGAAGTTAACTCGGTTATAGCGCAAGGGAAACATACCGGTGAAGTAACTTCATGTACTAAATGTCTGTCTATATCAAGAATTAGTAGATATTCCCATTGACTATTCTGAATTCAACATACCGATATAAAGTAGGATAGTACCATCCATTCTCTCATCTACGATATGGTCCTGAAGAACCTTATCGTAGAGAGTTTGTGGTCTACCTTCAGCAGTAGGCATAGTGAATGGATGAATAAATAGATAACAAGTTCCTTTGGGTATAACTGTTTCCAATAGTATGTATCCTGCTTGATCTTGCTGTTGACTTGCTATTGACCACCGAAAGTATAAATTCAACGAGAAACGAAACACTTCAGAAACTTTAGAAAAGGGATAAAAAGAGGTTAAAAAGATTTACAATAGTAAAAGAATATCCTCCTGAGAGTGCGGGGTGGAATTTATTTTATGATGCTCAATTCAAAGACAATTTAAGCCGATATCGGGAAGAGCTCCAAAATGATCTCCGGTGGTGCAGATCCGGTGACCAATGAAAAGGAAGGTATTACCTTTCTGCCATTTCTATGCCTTGTTCGGTGTTTTGTCATCCCCACCAGGAAATCGTAGATGTCATGCAAAACAGCTTGAAATGATCCACTTGAAACCAAAAAGCAAGCTTTCGGGTTGTGTAAGAGTCATAGTGACCAATTAGATTGGAGATATAATTGACTAATAAAATGTTCCTGTTACTCATAGGGGACCCTCATCGTCGCTCATTATCAAAGGCGGTGACTTCACTTATAAGGACAAACACGTGAGGAAGTCTAATTCCTAATAATTGAATTCATGATGAGAGAGATTGATTTGTTGTCTTTATATCTCCGGTTGGTTAAACAATATACTTCAAAATCTATATTCTAGCTGCGCAACAACAATAGCCCCTACATTATCTAAACCAATGTCCAAGAACCAGCAATGCTAATGCTATCAAACAAACGACACCACCTGATATCAATATCAAATCCGAACTTACTCAGCCTCCTCACCATATATCTCACCCACCCTTCTGTAGACCCCTAGCTCACGGGAGGGACCTCCCCACCCGAACCCCGATACAAGATCAAGGTCAAGATCGGCCATCCATTACTTCCCCTACTACAGTAATAACCTAGCAATAACCTATAGCTAGCTACTAACAACCAACAACCCCTCCTTCCCCTCCCACTAAAACACAAGCCCGACACTAATACCATACCATACCAATGCCCTACTATCTCCATAGTATCTACCATAATATTTCCAGGGTCCCTATATCGGTTCAGCATCCCATCCCACAAACCGGAGTCTAAAATTCTCACTGCGACGTCGCAGCATCTTATTACCATTATACTAATCTTCCTCGTACTTCGTACCTCCTACCTCCAAAACACAAACATCGTATTCATAATTCTTACTTCTTAATTATTAATCCCTTACCGATGCTCGGAGAGGTTTATTCGCTTCATCTTCATCTTCATCTTCTCCTTCTCTATTACACGATATCATGTTTCCGCTTAATCGCTTCACTATTTAATATTCACTAATTACTCACTACTTATCAACTACGATTCCACAACATTCCTTCACTATCATTCCCTTCGCTACC